TCTTTTCTGAAAGATAATGTTCCTGAGCTGGTACTTTAAAGAGGTCATTTTTCGATTTTCGAACGGTACTCGAAATAAAAGTGGCTAAAGGAGAAAACCCGAACGATATCACGATTTTATAATATTAAATAATTATGGACAACGTTTTTTAACAGAAATATTGCTTCAAATGAAAAATGACTAGAGATTTTTTTTGTTATATTTTGGATTTTGTTCCTTACGGTTTAAAGTTCGGAAATTTTAGCCATTTTTGAGCTATTTATAGACATTTTAAWTTTGGGAGTTTTTTGTTGTTATTTGCTTAAAAACATTCATAAAAACTTTGGGCTGTTTACTTATATTAGCCTTATATTAGACATGGTAAAATTTTCAAAACATTTTAATGACTTTTTAAATCTAAGATTTTTTGTATACAATGGTATAATAATATCATTGGATTCAAATTTAATTCCATCCATTACAGTAACCCACTTTTTTAATCCGATTCGAATAAAAATAATTCAAAATATATTTATATCTCTATGTTAAGATAAAATGGTTATCTAAGATAAGTCACCTAGATATATTTTTTTGACGATCATTTGGATTTTTTTCTAGGGGTTTTGATTATTGTTTTTATTTATATACCCTATTTCCAAGAATATGCCTATATTTACTGTATTTTATTTTCACTTTCTCTTAGTACCTTAATGAATATTTATTACGTGTGTTTATCTATAGTTATTTCTTGCAGATATTATAATGTTCGTTCTCTGTAAACACAAATGGTTTAAACGTATTAAAACACGTATTCACAATGTAAAATTTTTAACTCATATAACATATTTTATAGCAATAATACTGTTTTAAAAATGCAAGTTTTAAATTATCTGTTTTTATATCTTGTTACAATTTCAATGAATTACTTGTTATCGTATCTAGATAATTGTTTGGTTATCTCTATACAACTTTGTATACCTATACTTTCAATCGTATATTTTCTTATTATATATAGCTAATATCAAAAGTTTGATCGCGAAATATATGAATWGTCGAGTTTAGTCTATAAGGCCATCCATCACCTGAAATACATGTGTAATTTACCTTGCTCCAAGAATTAATAGAAATTTTCCTAGTTAAATATTTATAGAGATGCATATTTTATATATTATGATGCTTATGAATATATAAAATGGGTTGACGACATTGGCATTGTAAAATAATTAGTATGTACCTACTTTGTATTTATTCTAGTTGTCATCGTATTGGAGCGTCCTACAGAAACCATTACTAGTAGATTATACGTACTACTCTAGATATGCGAAAATATGTCACAGAAATTACTTATTAACTACGGATAAATATCGTTTAAATACGTTTTAAAAAAAATACATTATAACTATTTACTAATCATAATTCTTACGATTGAATTGCTTATATTTTATATATAGACTTGAATTGATTTTTTATTTCAAAATGTTTTGCTCATTTTATAATTCTATAATTTATGCTTTGAGTATAATATGCACTTATACGTTTATTGAAGATCTAATGATATAAATTAGATGTTTCATTTATTGCATTGAACGTGTTTGTTATTTTTGTAAATAATGATCTATCATAAATTCTTTTAAGTTATAATTCTATAATATTATATAGAAATTATATTGCAAGGACGCTTATAGTTATGAACTTGTGAAGAAGCCTCAAAATCTTAGCTTCATTACTAGTTGACGTACTTTTTTAATCCATCAAAGTATTTAATACATAGTAAGTTATCAATGTAGGTATTATTGGAAAATACGAAAACATATTACTAGGTAGTCCCTTTAGTATCATTAAAAGTGTTTTATATGTTATATGGTTGTATATTTGTCTATAACGTTTAAGCTATTTTTTATATTATGTATTTAGATTTAAGGGTATATTATATCGCCTTCTGCTAGATGCATATAGCGTTTATAAATATTTAAATAAAACGGCACCTATAGCACTTGTATAAAACGTTAATTTTATTTTAAATAAATAACGGTTAACGCGTATTAGGTATAATTTGTATTTATACAATACATTTATTTATCTAATATTTACTTAATTTTTTTTTTTGTTTTTTGGTGGAGGTGAGTTCTATATACGAAAACGTAAATATATGTATGATGTATGATACCCAATTTGATTGTATAAAAACATATGACAACATTGTTACTATTCGAGTATAGCTGCAGTAATATGAGCAATCGGTGCTTGAATTGAGAAATATTAAAAGGGCTACGAAAATCATCCCCCTCCACACAATCACACGCAGACAATTCAAGCACTCTATTCATTATACTTTATAATAAACACTTAATTTCCAAAACTAATTTTCCTAATAGCCTTTTATATAAACTATAGCATATATATTATAGACATTTCATTGTATTTTTATTAGTTCCTAAGTCATTCTTTTGAATTCTTTAGTGATATAAATTGCTCGTAATTTTTTCAGTAGGGTGACCAGAACGACGGAAGAAGATACCGATGCGACGGCTCCAATGACAGCGTCCGACAACGGACCAAATCGCGGAGATATACCATCGTTCGATGACGACGAGGACAACGAACTAACGTCGGGCGATGGCAATCATTCGGGTGACGGACCAGATACTGATGACCGTTACACGACGAACAAACCACAGCGAGTCGGGTCCCAAGACGATACTAATATGTTGCCGATGAATAACGTAAACGGTTTTAATTTGACCATAACTAATCCACCCGACTCTTGGAACGCCGGCGATTCGACCACAAGCACCACTACCACCACTACCGTCGCTGCTGCTACTACCACGACAACGACGACGACGACTGCAAAAGCGACTGCGGCCACTCAACCGTCCACGACCGCCCAACCGTCCACGACCACTGAGTCACCGACGAGTGCTCCGCCGCTATCGCCGACCCAGTCGTTTGTCGAACAAGGCACAAGTAATACTGTCATATAATATTCTATTTTTACACACGCGTATCTCATATGGGTTAGATTATATCACGTCATGTTCATTGTACGTCACGTTATTRAGAAAAAAAAAATGGATTGTTTGATATTTTTTCAACAATATAAGAACTGTCATAACTCATATGGTGCCCACAACATAAAATAGTMTTTAATAAACTCCATTAATTATAGACTATGCACGTGTGAACGCAAACATCTGTGTTGCACTGGTCATCATTCATCGACAATATTTTTTTATTTATAATAAAAGTATAATATGATTGAACAGAAAACAAAATAGTTAAGAATATAATATAGTTTTTAAAGAATATTAGCTATATATTTCCATGCATAAAAAAAATATAGTGTGTGAGTAACACTCTGGGGAAGTAAAACTTCTTTCATAAGTATAGGGTCCGTTAAATCATAAGTTAGGTTTAACCCATAGTGTAGTCTCATTCGAATATGTTCTTAATCAGTAATCGTCACCACGAATATTATATGCAATGTAATCAATTTGATAACAGAATTTGCACAAAAAAAACAATTTTCAATAACATTACCAATTCACTTTTTTTCACAAAGAGGAGAGACGAGAGTAGAATTGAAAAAACATAGAAAACACACTAAGCAAATGACGCGTTATCACACTCGGACATATAACATTTAACCACTCAAGCGATTTCTATCGCAGTCATACACACGCATTCATACCCCGTCTAATTTTTTTGTGACGTTTCATTCTTTTGTGACGATTTTTTCTCCATCCATACCTCAAGAAAGAAGTTTTACTTATAAGTTATAAACTATGAACACATATAGGTATAGAAAAATGTATTTCAAATTGATAATCTTCATGGAAAATTATACTTTATTTTAGGATATAGTATGATTGTATTTTATTAGTCATTGCTCATTACTAAGCTAATAACTACTGATTATTATTTAATAGTATAAATCAAAATAACTCTTTCTGATATTTGTTTAAATATTTCACAAAATTTAAAAACATTTGATCATGAAAAACAACATATCGTTGAAAAAATATTTTATACTTAATAATTAAATCGACATGACAACTGAAAACATTTAAGTATTTTATACAAGCTACAATTATGTTTAAAAGTACATTGCGAGTATATGACTATAGAAGTTAAAATGTTAAATTATTTTATTTTAATAGTAGATAAAAACATTTATTTGGTTTTTAGAATTACATCACATCACCTTCAGGTATACTAATTGTTCATGTAAGTAACAGATAAATATTAATGTTACCAGTGTATTATAAATTATTAAAATCATAGTGTCGTATAACATCTATAATGCATAATTCTAAATGGTAATCAGTTAATTAACCTCTTATTTTGAAAAAAAAAAGTATARTGCGTCAATAGAATATTCATTTTATTTGTTAGGCATAGTATATTAGGGTATAACAAGTCAGATTATTTTAATTTATTTATTTAATAGTAAATGCACAATTACCTATATAATAATATTATATACTACCTATATAAATAATAATGTGTGTTCATAAATATTTAATGTTTATCTAAAAACAACATTATTTCATAATACTAATGGCAATATTACAATCACATTACTTTTATTATAAAACGTGATCTGCATAATAATTAATCATGATATGTCTGCTGGTTAAATAAATATATCTCCACTTATAATAGATAAATAAAAACTGTGTTTGGTTTTACAGCTATTTTCAGAGTACATTTAACAATAATGGAGCCATATACCAAGGACTATGCTGATATGAAAAGCGAAGCTTTTGACTGGCTTGCCAACAATATCACTTTGTCACTGAACAAAGCATTAAAACAATACGGAACTTACTCACCAAGAGTAGTAGCAATCCAGTAAGAAATTAACTACCGCGTAACTTATCTATTTAGCGATATTTCAATAACAGATTTAGAATATATTATTATGATATACCTAATATATATGATATAGGTATAACCTAATAATATAATATAACCTATAACCATTAACCACCACAAATTATTAATTGTATTTAATTAAATAATAGAAACAAAAGAAATCTAATTCGATATCYCCTAATTTCGTGATGTCTAAATTTCTAATTTAAAAATATGTTTGCACATATATTTTGAAATTTTTTTAATTCCTATATTTGTTGGTTTATATTTACATAATATACTACTTTTATGGTATCAACATAATTATTGAATAAAACGACTCAACTAGCGTTTCTCTTTCAACGCGATATTAATATATAAATACCTCTTTAAGATTTTGGACAATTTATACAAAAAACTATGTACTGATGTATATAAATCTTTACTCAATAATAACATAAACATTTCTTTAGATTGTAAAGAAAAATATTTATAGCGTAAAAACAACTTTTTTCTCAGTTGTGTTAAAATGTATATTTTAAAGTTTTTAGCGCATTAAGTGTACGAATCGTTGCAATTAATGAAGTCGAATCGTTTGGTTTTTTATTTCAGGCCAAGTAGCGACGAATTTTTTGTAAGAGCAACTGTGGACATTGAATCCGAAGRACGAGAAACTAAGGAAACATTAGAAAATCAACTCCGATATTTCATATCCAACTCTAGAGCATTTAATCCTAGTAGCCCTCTCACTGTTATCGATAAAGGATTCGACATCACACAAGGTAAATTTAGACGCAAACAATAAACAGTCGATGGATCTGACGTTATTTACTGGCTAAGGGCTGTTTTGTGTAATAACTTTGCAGGCATTTTAGGGGATCTGCTGTTTGGAAATTGAGAGTATTATTACTTATTATTACATGATATAATTATTTAATAATAGTCTGGTAGAACTTTGGTGACGAGTTGTGATCATATAGGTATTATTGATTCTTATTTGTATCCAAATCACTGAGTGTTGGTTCATATTCTAATCACAAGATAAAAATTCAGCTGGTTTTAATTATATTTTAAATGTAGTGAATAYATACTTGCATTTCAAATTRTACAACATTAGTGTATCAGCAATAATATCAATACCAATAATATGATATCAAAAATTAAATACTGCTATACTTAATACTTATATTATAATATATATATATATGCTATAGTTTACATAGTAATATGCGTTCTATTTTTGTGGTTAGATGTTGCTAATATTTTTATGTAGGTAATCAAATTCTATATATTATTCGATCTACATTTGACAGTACTACAGTAGTTRATTCTATTTTACGTGATTATCCTGCATGTAAACGTATTACCACTATATTTATTTTTGCTTGAGAGCTTATTGAGAATGCCATACATATTTTTCTTGATCAATTTAAATGGCGCCTTCAAAACATCTTTCTACCCATTATATTTATTATTTATATTTTGTACCGTAGATTTTACTGTAGTTAACCTCTGTTTTTACATACATTTATATATATATTTTTTTACAACTTAAGCATACGCTGGTCTCACCGCCACTTGCCAGTCGGGCGAAATGCTTTGTGTAGTCACCAACGCTTGTTTACCAGCAGAATCTCGATGCAATGGCACGGCTGAATGCCCAGATGGAACTGACGAACAAATGTGTCAAAGACATATCGAACTTAACGGTAAGTTCCTATAAGAAAATAACGATCGTATCCACTCTTTTGATTGGGGTTTTACGCATAACAAAAATAAGTGTTATTTTGTTAATGTAGACGGGTAATTAATTTAATTAATCAAAGTATTATCCAAATATCAAGTACCTATAAGCGAACTATTGGGAGTGGAGTAGACTATTACAGGGAAATTATTATTCCGATGTTAATTACAAACTAATTTCATTAAAATAATAATATAGTGTGTAAGCGTTAAGGATGAGTTTTGTTTTGAGTTTGATGACTTTGTGAACAAAACTCACATAATTCATTGCTAACTTTCAAGAAGTCACATTTAAATTATACATTTTAATAATACATCTAAAATAATATGAACGGCTGAAAAATATTTTTTGTACATATTATTATTGTTATTATTACTATTTTTCATTATATAATTCAACTAATTAAATGTTTAATATAATTATTAAAATACAATAGTTAGGTATGTATTATCTGTATTAAAGGTATGGTACTTTATATACCTTATACATCGAGGGAACTCCCAACAAAATTTCATCAAGATTTTTATTCATAATAATAAACAATAAGTGTTGCTGTTAAACTACAACGTCTGTTTTTGGCTACCTAAGTAAAGTATCGTATTGTTTTGAAAAAAAAATATATCAAGATGATGGTGTATAAATATCCGTGCATGATACTTTATCTAAACTTATCTTGTAGTCTATAAATGCACCACAAAGTAATATTACACCGTTTTAATTATAAAATTTGTATACTATGCACAAAACTATATTGCACACACCGTAAGCTATATTTTGTTAAAAGTTTTTTTTTT